TATATATATATATATATATATAATCGACCATGTAAGAAAATAAAACCACATGAACAATCTACATAAAAAAAGATAACAAACGAATCTACGAACGTTTATAAAACACGGGACCAATTGGTAATTGGTAAATTTTGTCTAAATTTCATTCATATTAAAACCGTTAAATAAATAAATAAATAAAATACCCTTAAGTCCGTGTATTACGAGGAGGTGCAAAACTCATAATTGTAGTTAGGTACTTAGGTATAAGTTTATTGAAACTTATAGGCTTTAACGTTTTATCTATTCTTGTTAGGGACACCTATAAATCATATTTAATATGCTAAATATATATTTGTATATATAAAATCAAATATTGCAACTCGTACAAAGTGCCACAATAATGTTTCATATACTAAGGTTGGACGGTATATTCGGAACCGTATGGTGTTGTATGTAAACTGCATCCAAGGACACCACGCCCTAGGTACGGTTTAGGGTGAGGGGTGGGTGTGCGGTTTTTGTTTCCAGCACCTTCTTTCTTCTTCTGATTGACCAATACTGTAATTTTTTTTTAGTTTTTATTAAATTATATACACACTAAACAATATATATTAAAATTTATGGTTTTTATATTCCTATAAAAATAGTATAATATTTTTATAAAATATATTTTAAAAAAAAAACAAAAAATGACAAGAAATGAAAAGTGACAATTTCCTAAATTTTGAAGAGTGGAAGAAGAGTGAGAAAAATAAGGTCACGTTGACGTGACATAAAAAAAGTGAAAGATAAAAGATATATAGTCTAACATATTTTCATTAACTTATTCTCTTCTTTATTCTTTGGAAGTTTATCTTTACTCTAATACTAAGAAAGTAAGAATGCAAGAATTTATAAGTAAGATTTTATGTATAAGTCTAAACATTATTTTAATCCGAATACATTGTAACTTATCTTATTTATGCTGGCTACAAATTAATTGATACGAAGCCGACACGACAACATTATTATCTTAACGATAAATTATTATACAACCTAACTTGTTTGCAAGTTCTAAACAACGACACACATATTAGTTAAGATAAAAAAAAACATTAAATGGAGTCCTTATTAGTTATTTGACTAAAGCTACGGATAACTAAATGGCACACCCCATAAATGCAATGAAAGGTTTATTTCTTTTTCAAAATAGTGATACATCGAATCAAACTTTATTTTTATTTTTACCAAAATGAATATTCTATCGATCGATAACTGATTTTGATATACGTGTGAACTTACAAAATTTTAGTCTAAAAATACTATGATCACATCTTAATTAAAACGATAATAAAAACTCACAGGACTAAAATGTATCGACTATATATAAGTGGTGTTGATGATCGAAAATGAAAGAAAAACCATATGAATGATTTGTTTATGATTGTTCGATTGTGTAGCTTTTCATTTTACAAAAATTAATAATATTTTGAATTTTAGAACTTTACTTTTAGGCACAAAAGAAATGGTTTTTATTAAGAAAATCGATAAAAACGTTATATGGACATGTTTTTATTCCAAAAACCGTTTAGTTATCCTTAAACATACAATTATTATACCAATACATATCATTAAAAACAAGATATGTAATATAAGTCATATTGTATGTTTAAAGACAACTAAACCGGTTGGATCCAGAACCAGAGTATTCAGTTCGATTCAATCCAGATCCGAATAATGTTAATCCTTAAGATGGTTTATATGTATGGATATTTTAACGAATTGAAATCTGATAAAGTGATATATTTGATATTATTGTACGAATATAAATATATAATTGATATTTTAGTTAGATCTTGAAGTAAAAGATCAAACACCCATAAATGAAAAGTACAAACCCAATAATTTATATCTTAAAGTAACAATTATTTCCATTAAAGAAAGCGGAAATAAATAAATAAACAAAATCCATAAATCGATCAACATTTCATAACAATCTATTCATCCATTTAGCTACAATTTGAGTTTTATATCTTCTCATGATACAACAATTTGACAATATATTAGTGTCAAAAAATATGGAGAAAAAAAAAATTAACAGGACCCATTTTCACAACATACCGACACACTATCACATTTTCATTCTACACCTTCATATAATAAAAAATGGACCCATAAACCGAAAATATTAATCGATTAAAAACAAATTCCACGTCATCATCATGGTGACGTCAACAACCAACCTGACCTCGAAATTCAAGAAACACAAGTGCAGCTCCATAATGAGCCAACGCACCCATAATCACAAAACAATGAAAAATCTGATGACTATGTCCCGCCAAATCAAACCAACCAGGCTTAAATCTTTCTGGGATTCTGCTAATATAAAACATGGTACCCGTCAGATATGAAACCGCCATCGCAGTTTCATATGCGAGGATTCCATTCCTCTGCGGTTCATGCCAGTTGACAACAACAGCATGAACCGCGGGTACTATCCCAAACAGGCCCATACCCATAAACAGAAAAGCCCGAAAAGACCGGAACTTTCCACTGGAAAGCGCCGGTGCCAGTAGGGTTATAACGGTAAATACACCCATCGCTGTGATTCCACCGAGATAGACAAATTGCCATATGGGCTCGCATTGAAAAATGTAGTAAATTGGAGGGAAAAACGAGGTGATGATCATGATGGTGATTCCGACGTAGTCCATTTGGAGGAGGAGGAGGTTGAGATGGTGGGAGTGGCAGCCGAAGAGGTGGCAGGTGGAGGAGGAGAGGAGGCAGAACATCGAGCCGCCCAAGAACACGAAGAATGGCCACCGCGTTGCCGCCAGTAGTGGCGGCCCGATGTCCATGTCTAGCGGTGATTCGTGCTTTAAGTCGATGAGTTTTGGTGTATCCTGTGTAGTTAAACACAAAATTTAGAATGTTGACTTTTGCAAACTTGTTTGACCTAAAAAGTCAAAATACATATCTAGTAAGAAATAACGACTCACCATAATTGAATTATGTGAGGCGTTTGTACCTGGGCCTAACGGGAAAGACCTGAAATTTTGATAAAAATTAGAGCCAGTTTTGTACTTTTATAAACTTGTTTGCTATAGCATCCTACTTTAAATTTTTCTTATTACACTTTTGTACTTTGAAAAAATCTATCCATTTATAGGAATGTCATGTAAATTGAAATTTATATTTATTGCTAAAATTAGGTAAATTTATTAAAGTACAATGTCCTAATAAGAGAAAAAAAAAAAAAAAAACAGGACAATGCTATGATTAGTAGATTTTTCCAAGGACAGTGGCTTATTAAGAAATAAACTGAAAAAAAAGGGATGTTATATGTTACTATTTCTTTCATTTAGACGTATAAATTAAAATGAAAACTAAAAATCATTCAAGAAAATCAGAATTAACATCATTAAAAAAATAATAATACTATATTAGTTAACATGTTGTACAACATGTTTCAAGATTCTTTATTTGGATAATTTATGATTTCCTTACAATTCTTGACAGCATGTTGTGGGTGTCAATTATGATTTTTTTAAAGTCCTATTCAAAATTATATCGTTTTTCTCTGCTGACGGCTTAAAAATAAAATTACATATTTATCCATTATCATCATCAAATAAATTAATGATATTGATTCGGTCTTGTAAATATTGAAGGATCTTTATGACATTTAACCAACTAAACAAAATCCAAAAGGGCATCCATATCTTGCACGTTTAATGATATAAATGCAATATTTTATTTTAAAATAGTCTCAAAATAAAAGCAAAAAAATGTTTATTTCTTAGCCTATAAGTATATAACATCAATCATCAATTTGGATCCGTATGTTTACCCTTTATTTTATCATCATCTAATAGTCAAACCATTTTTAATAAAATTGTGAAGAGGAGAAAAAGAATCTTACATACCAAGTTAACAAATTGAGGAACTGTGAAACTTGAGGCACATGCATAACGTTTGTAATGGTCAATCCCACAAATACAACAAATCCGATTAAATGCCTACACATGAAAAACAAGAAAACAGCCAAAAATATGTCAGTAATACCACTATTTAACCATATATATATCACAACAAAAACCATCACAAAAAGACAAGCATGTTGCATCATGGCTTTTTATTTTCACAATAGTCGGTAATAAAAATTAAAAATATGTGATTGTGATTCTAAAGCTAGAATCACTAGTTATTATGACCGGTACAGGCATATAAAACCTATACCATATATATATATATATATATATATATATATATATATATATATATATATATAAAAGCAAGGATGAAAAGACTTCTTGTGCATAGTACAAGCCTTGAAAAGTTAGGTTTTGAACTATCAACATCTCACAAGAAAATTGACACAAGAATAACAATGATGAGGACAAATCTAAGCAAAGCTCATCGAGATTTTAACAGTAGACCATATATGCAACTTTAAACATAACCAAAAACATCAACATCAAAATACAGGCTTTTTTTTTTTGAAGGAAATGATGAGAAGTGAGGAAGAATGTACATGTCTTTATGCATATGGTACAAGTTCATTACAAATTATGTGTTAAAGGGTAGAATTAACAGAGATAACATCAAGGGCATACCCAAAAAAGTTAAATAACAAGTGCAAGCTCCAATTTAATTGGAATGATGAATTACGCATGAAAAAGGTGTGATGATTTTAAATTTATATAAACTGCTAAAAGGAAGGTACAAGGTTCTATTTATGGTGTAGAAGATTCTGTACAGTTTGCAAATCGATTGAATCTTTGTGAATCATCATTTAGTAGGAAATCAAGTAAATTGATGATAAATATTTTCAAATCCGTCGAATATTTCCTGATTATTTGTAATGAGCCAGAGATGAAATTATCAGCAATACATTCACAGAAATTTCATAATTTGAATCTATTTGAACTAACAAGAGGTTTTAAGTTGTCATCGTGAAGAAAATCATGAAAACCCCCCATTAATTTGAAATAACTATCATGAGAGAGAGAGAGAGAGGGAGATACAGGAAGAAATGGAGACAGGGAGAGATTACACTTACGTCCATACATTTAGGGTTTCATTGTGCCAGCGGAAAAGGCTAAAAAGGGCTTGCTTTAAAGGCCAATCAGCTCTGTAATAATTCAAAATAAACTCGTTATCCTTCATGTACTCTGGTAAATCTTCAAATCTCAATAACGGGTACTCTGTTCGGGTCTTCTGATTCACAGTCTTCTTGTTCATGTTCTTGTTTTTCTTCTTATTTGAGGCAACAAGAAGCTGTGATTTGTCATCATCGCAACAGATCTTTTTAGATCTTCTCTTCCAAACAGACCCGTCATTGGAGTTCATGTTTTCTTGAATCTGTTACTCCCGGAACACAAGTATATATGTATGTTATAAGGGATTTTGAATGTAGTTATAGAATCAATGAATCGATGAATCGATGAATCGATCAAAGACCCACATGTAGAACGTATTTATGGAATGAAGGTATGGGAGAGAGATTTAAGGCAGTTAAGGCTATTGGAGCAACTACTACCTACAACTTCTACATTAAAGGCACCCACCTTTCTTTATTTTTGATTAAACACTCGGCAAGTATATACGTATAAGATATTCTATTATTCTATTACAATTACAAATTACACAAAATTCAAAATTACAAAATAAACTTGTGGTAGGTAAAAACCATCAACCAGGCTCGGTCTAGATGGTGGGCAACCCAGACAGTTGTCCAAATGGCCTTTGGCCTAGCGATATCAAGGTATTTAAAAGGTGTTCCTCCCCCACGGGCTTGAGGTTCAAGTCTTGCCGTGGACAAAATATGTAGTTTAGGAGTAGGATTTAGAGATACGTATGTTAGCCATTC